CCTCCTCCTCCGTTGTTCACGTCTTCTCCTCCTCCTCCGTTGTCACGTCTTCTCCTCCTCCTCCGTTGTCACGTCTTCTCCTCCTCCTCCGTTGTCACGTCTTCTCCTCCTCCTCCTCCGTTGTCACGTCTTCTCCTCTCCTCCTCCTCCGTTCCTCCTCACGTCACGTCTTCTCCTCCTCCTCCTCCGTTGTCACGTCTTCTCCTCCTCCTCCGTTGTCACGTCTTCTCCTCCTCCTCCGTTGTCACGTCTTCTCCTCCTCCTCCGTTGTCACGTCTTCTCCTCCTCCTCCGTTGTCACGTCTTCTCCTCCTCCTCCGTTGTCACGTCTTCTCCTCCTCCTCCGTTTTCACTTCTTCTCCTCCTCCTCCTCCTCCTTTGTCACGTCTTCTCCTCCTCCTCCGTTGTCACGTCTTCTCCTCCTCCTCCGTTGTCACGTCTTCTCTCCTCTCCGTTGTCACGTCTCCTCTCTCCGTTTGTCACGTCTTCTTCCTCCGTTGTCACGTCTTCTCTCCTCCTTGTCACGTCTTCTCCTCCTCCTCCGTTGTCACGTCTTCTTCCGTTGTCCTCCTCCTCCGTTGTGTCAGGTCTTCTCCTCCTGCTCCGTTGTCAGGTCTTCTCCTCCTGCTCCGTTGTCAGGTCTTCTCCTCCTGCTCCGTTGTCAGGTCTTCTCCTCCTGCTCCGTTGTCAGGTCTTCTCCTCCTCCTCCGTTGTCAGGTCTTCTCCTCCTCCTGCTCCGTTGTCAGGTCTTCTCGTTGTCAGGTCTTCTCCTCCTCCTCCGTTGTCACGTCTTCTCCTCCGTTGTCACGTCTTCTCCTCCGTTGTCACGTCTTCTCCTCCGTTGTCACGTCTTCTCCTCTGTTGTCACGTCTTCTCCTCCGTTGTCACGTCTTGTCCTTTTCCTCCTCCGTTGTCACATCTTGTCCTCTTCCTCCTCCGTTGTCACGTCTTGTCCTTCCGCCTTCCCCTCTTCCGCTGTCACGGCTTATCGCCTTCTTTCCCTCTTGTTATGTTCTCCTCTTGCACTATCATGTTCTTCATCTTTTCCTCTTCTACTATCTTCCATCTTCTGCTCTCTGACATATCTTCCAACCTCTCCTTTATAATTGTCGTACCTTTCTGCCTTCCCTTCTTCTTCAGTTAATACATCTTTTGTCCTCTCCTCTGTGGATTTCTTGGGTTTGAGTCCCTATTGACTGAAGTTGTTTTTTCTTTAAATATTTTCTTTATTATTAGTAACTGTTTGTATGTTTTAGATTGAATAGTTTTGAATACGTTGTTAGTTATGTACAAATCGGGCCTATTAGTATTGAATGCGTGTTCGAATGTAAGTTAGAAGAACTTCTAACCTAGGAATGTGAACATTTACTCTATGTACAGTGTATATAAAGAAAAAAAATTTCTGCGCTAGGTGTACCCAAAATATTGGTTGCTGCATACTAATTTTATCATTTCCTTGAAATCAATAAATAGCGATCAAATTATATCAACACATAAAATGCATCAAATCTGCAAGCAACAAGTGTCTCTACCACAGACAAGCATGCTCCATCCCCTGACGATGGTCTCTGGTAACGAAAGACATTGGGTGGGGATTAATTGGTGAAGTCGTCACACCCGCCAACTGATGGAAGTGTGGTGTTTCTTGTTTATCTCTGTGGGTACAGAGACAAGCATGCTCCAATCCCCTGATGATGTTCTCTGGCAACAAAACACGTTGGGTGGGGATTATTTGGTGAAGTCACCACGCCTGCCGACTGCAAAAAGTGTGATGTTTTTGGCTTGTCTCTGTGGGTACAGAGGCAAGCATGCTCCAATCCCCTGATTATGTTCTCTGGCAACAAAACACGTTGGGTGGGGATTATTTGGTGAAGTCACCACACCCACCGACTGCCAGAAGTGTGGTGTTTCTTTTTTGTATTTGTTGGTACAGAGACAAGCATTCTCCAATCCTCTGATGATGTTCTCTGGTAACGAAACACATTGTGCAGGGCTTAATTTGTGACGTCATCACGCCCGTCGACTGCTAGAAGTGTGGTGTTTCTTGTTTGTCTCTGTACCTACATTTTATGTACCTGTCTGCTGCTAAATAAATGCAATTTTTATGGTGGTTTTACACTATATGGTTTACCGCTTGTGTTTAACATTTCAGAGGAATATTTGAATCCTATTATGGTAAGCTGGTGGTTCTCTGGTGCGTGTGTACGTGTGTATTGGCCCCCCCCTAGAGATTATTGCATGCCAAAGTTGTCTGCCCTTCCAGTGATCTACTATACAAGTGCTTTATGATCTCTGTTTTAAACTAGAGATCATGGACATTTAGTAAGAGGTTGTTTAATTTGCGATGAAGGACACCTGATGAAAACACTTACCTGCTGCTGATTTACTTCATATCTTGGATGGTTTGCATGGACATTTTTTTGGTACACAAATTTGTGTAATATTCAGAGTACAATCTGTATTATCACTGGCATGAGCACGTTTTTACTTATGACTTCACCAATGAATCCCCACCCAATGCATTTCGTTACCAGAGAACATCGTCAGGGGATTGGAGAGTGCTTGTGTCTGTACCCACAGAGACAAATAAGAAACACCGCACTTCCGGTATTCGACGGGCGTGATGACTTTACCGATTAATCCCCCAACAATGTTTCTTTACAGGAGGAGGATTGGAGCATGCTTGTCTCTGGTAGAGACACTTGTTGCTTGCTGATTTGATGCATTTTATGTGTTGATTATTTTTATCACTATTGATTTCGAGGAAGCGAATCTACCTACATATTCAGATAATCGATGTACAGGTCAACAAATGACACTGTGAAACTACATGATCACGACTTATGCAGGTGGAAAATATAAAGTGCAGGTAGGAAGGTTTACAATGCCTAGATGGGTGTAGTTCTAGTGGTTTTGCAAAACAAAATCCTCCCTATTTTGTCAGTTTTACAGCTACTAAAATAGATATTTTTTTTCTATAATAGCATAATAGTTTTATTAATTGTCAGTAGATGGTGTTTGCCCAATTTCATTGTGTTCAGTAGTCTTTCCATCTTAAACCTGCATTGGTTGTTTGTAGAAATTTTCTTGGAGTTGCTTCAAGCTGACCCTGCTTTGTGGATTCCCTGAGGATGGACAGCAACAGAGACCATGTGGCTAAGAAGATATTAAAGCTCACCCTAAAGATCATCCACCTGTTGACTGGAGAGGTGAGGAGGATTCTGGGAGGTCACATGACATCACTCTTATCTCTATTAATAAAACACAGACCTGACCGGAGAGGTGAGGAGGATTCTGGGAGGTCAATGACATCACTCTTATCTCTATTAATAAAACACAGACCTGACCGGAGAGGTGAGGAGGATTCTGGGAGGTCACATGACATCCCTCTTACCTTTATTAATAAAACACAGACCTGACCGGAGAGGTGAGGAAAATTATAGGAGTTCTATCTCTCTTATCTGAGCTATACCCATCATTCAATGACCAATTGTCTTCGCAATCCAAAAACTAATAGGAGTTTTGTACATATTAGACAGACGTACTGCCACAAGACAGAATGACCAGGCTGGAAGCAATCCAGCTGATACTAGCAACAAGTAGGTCCTTGGTGTGTCATCTAATTGTGCATACAGGCTCAGGATTCAAGCTGTCGCCTGATGGTATTTCTGCACTTTTGTATTGTTTGAGGACAATATGGTTTGTATTGATACAAAATGTTTAAATGGATCATGACCATATACAGTGTGACATGGATCTATTCCTCCTTATTTAGGACTATGGGCCTATTAACAAACCATGCGTTTGCAACACACCACATAACAAAAGCCAGATCCCCATCACAGAGCCTCCACCTCCCTCCCTGATTCCCGAGAGGAGCAACAACCAGAAAATCCTGGAAGTCACTAACAAGATCATTGAGCTGCTGACGGAAGAGGTGAGCGGTGCGCTTGGGAATTCTGGGACATTCTCCAGTAACAGACAAGGGATGTGCCTAACTGGTGATTGTATCATTGTGTGTGTCAGGTTCCAATAAGGTGTCAGGATGTCACCATCCATTTCTCAGTGGAGGAGTGGGAGTATCTGGAGGGACACAAGGAACTCTTTGAGGATATCATGGTGGACGATTGGCAGATCCCTTCACCTTTTGGTAAGAATTAGGATTCTTCTTCTTCCTTCTTCTTCCTTCTTCTTCCTTCTTCTTCTTCTTCTCTTCTTTCTTCTTCTTCTTCTTCTTCCTTCTTCCTCTTCTTTCCTTCTTCCTCTTCTTTTCTTCTTCTTCCTTCTTCTTCCTCCTTCTTCCTCTTCTTTCTTCTTCCTTCTGCTTCTTCTTCTTCTTCTTCTTCTTCCATTTTCTTCTTCTTCTTCCATTTTCTTCTTTCTTCTTTTTTTTTTTTTTAGAAAGTATTCACATGGATTAATAGGGTACATGTCTCCATTACCAAACATTCTCATTTTGAATATAAAGCTAAACGTTTTCTTACCACGAAAAACATGCTTCCAAGCTCCCTCATGTGATGTAAAGCTTGGATAAAATGGTCTCCAGCTACCAGGAACATTGTGGGTGGTATGTTGGCAAGAACCCAGCACCAGGTAGGTCTCCAAAATTGGGAATTGGTGCCAAAATAAGCAGGTAGTGACCCAATACACACTTATTGGTCCATAACCTTAATTTGACCCATAAGATGATCCAGGCATTTAATCTTTACATCATGTGACCACTAAGGCTAGGTTCACATCTGTGCGGGTGGTGCCGCTGCAGATCCGCACGAAAATCCGTGCAGCCGCACCACCTGCACAGAGAAATGCAAACCTACGGGTGCGTGTCATCCGTTCTAATAGGGAAAATGTCACCAGCACACTGAGGATCACCAATATGGGTCCAAAAGTTTTAATGAACGACCACATAGTTAAAGCAAGGCAACGTTTCAGAGTCTCGCAGGACCCCTTCATCAGGCATATGGTCACACGGGGTCCTGCGAGACTCTGAAACGTTGCCTTGCTGTAACTATGGGATTGTTTATTAAAACCTTTGGACCCATATTGGTGATCCTCGGTGTGCTGGTGACATTCTCCCTTGCCGATTCTGTTCGGTTCCAGCCGACGGTCGCTGCAGCACCCACTTATACACACCGCCATTTTTAATGCAGGAACGTGTGCATTTGGATTGTACACTTTCATAAGTTCTAATGGCACGCCGCCCGCACTGGAAAATGCAACCGTACTGGGAACCAGGGTTCCTGTGTGGGCTGCGTTTTCGGAAGAAGTGCAGGAGCTTCTTCCCTGCGTGTCACGGAGCACGGGAGTCCATTCAAATGAATGCGCTCTTGTGCCCGCGCAAAGCATGGGCCGCACGGCCGCATATATGTGAACCAGGGCTAAAACTTAGCACCTGTCCCAACCCTAAGGGCTCGTTCACACTTGACTAATTTCTAACACTTGCCAAAAGCCCCTATAGCATTTGACAGGCGTTAGGGCTCGTTCACACTAGCTTTGTCAGCATGCGTCAGACAGGCATTTGGGAAGCATTTTTAACGCGTCTAAAACGCCTATGACAATTCTGCACATGGCAGCACACAGTGCTGTTCACAGGGAAGCGTCGTGACAAAATTGACGCCTCATGTCCAGTTAGGAGGCGTTGAAACCTCCCATTCAAGTCTATGGTGATGCTCCTCAAGTGCCTGGCAGGCATTTGCGGAGCGTTAATTCTATTAAACTTCATTATAGGCGTTTGTGGAGCGGTGTTAACGCTTTGCAAACGCCTCAAAAATGAGCATAGGGCGATTGGAGAGCGTTAAAAACGCTTTGCTAACGCCTGTCAAACGCTATAGAGGCATTTGGAAGGAGTTAGAAATAAAGTCAAGTGTGAACGTAGCCTTAGACAGGCGTTTGGGAAGCGTGTTTTAATGCTCCCCAAACCCCTTATGTGCATTTTTGAGGTGTTTGATAGGCGTTTGCCAAGCATTAAAACCGCACCACAAACGCCTATAATGAAGTTTAATGGTATTACCGCGGCGCAAACGCCTGCCAGGCGTTTGAAGAGCGTCACCATAGACTTGAATGGGAGGATTCAACGCCTCTTGACTGGACATGAGGAGTCAATTTTTCCGCAACGCTAACGCTTCAGTGTAAACAGCACAGTGTGCTGTCATGTGCAGAATTTTCATAGGTGTTTGAGAAGCGTTAAAAACACTTCCCAAAGCCTGTCTGATGCCTGCTGACAAAGCTAGTGTGAACGTGTCCTAAAAATAACCTTTGAGGCTAGGTTCACATCTGTGCCACGTTCTTTTGTGCGGGCACAGCAGCTCATTCATAATTCCACGAAAAGAAAAGAAAAGAAAAAATAAATTACAGTGCCATTAAATGTATGTATGTATGTAAATGTGTATGGATTATTTCTGGGGTATATGGATGTAATTTAGTGTCACTTTACAGATACCAGTTTGGTTTTTTTGATACGGTGTGTACACGTCCAGATATGTAGCAACTCACATCTGAACTATTTATTTATTACAGGTACTTATACAGCGCCATCAATTTACACAGAGCTTTCCACATATATTGTACATTCACAACAGTCCCTTCCAGGGGCGGACTGCAAACTCATGGGGCCCCCGGGCAATAGGGGATCATGGGGCCCCTGTGTCCTTGCCCAAACTCAAAACAGCCTATGAAAAAGGTACCAGGGGCATCTCATGGGGCCCCCTACTGACCCCGGGCCCTCGGGCAGTGCCCGAGTTTCCAAATGGTCAGTCCGCCCCTGGTCCTTTCTCTCGAGCTTGCAATCTAAGGTCCCTAACTCACATCCATACATACACATACCATGGCTGATTTAAACAGGAGCCACAGAGCCTACCAGCATGTCTTTGGAGTGTGGGAGGAAACCCACACAGGCACAGAGAGAACACGCAAACTCCAGGTCGGTAGTGCCGTGGTTGGGATTCGAACCAACAACCCTAGTGCTGCTATGTGAAAGTGCTAACCACTTGGCCACTGTGCTGCCTCTAAACTCTCTCTGGTTACCATTGTGGGTTTCCTTTAAAACTCTGCAACCTGTCAAAACTTTCCTGGTATACTTGCTACATCACTACCTTGAGGAGGCTTTTTATTAAGCAGTGGACCCTTTCTTTCCTTTAAAACATTGACTGTTCTTGTTTCGGATATTCCATTATTTAATGATCTGGTTGATCAGCAACTGGAAACCTTTTCCAAGTCAATGTTCTCCCTGGCAGGACCTGTCCTGCAACCTGCAATTACTGTCATATCCATTTGTCAACCCCTGGAGGTATGGACCAAGGATATAAATAAGAAGCTTGAACGTGGTCTACAGATCACTTGGTTTGAAGCAATTAGCGCTCTTGCTACGTTACATAGTTAGTCTGGCTGAAAAAAAAGACAAAACTCCATCCAGTTAGAGAGGTTTATTGATATTGTATGTCTTATATCCGGAATGAGTCTCCTTTCTGTGCATATGAGAACACCTTTATTAAAGCTGTCACTGTAGGACAGTGTGCGTCTTTCTCAAAGTGGGTAAACGCTTGCTGACTTTTGCAATCTTCTGGACTGAAAGTATCCTGGATGCATGAGTACAGGAAGTGTTGTCCAGGAGCTGCAAGCTAAGAATCTTTTTTCCACCTCTTCCCTGCTTCATGTTGCCAATTCTTTCAGTGTCTCCAAAAAGACTACCTGACCTTTACGCTGCACTGGTGCAACTCTTCTACATGGAATCCACCAGGTCAAACATTGCTTCCTTCAATCTGAAAAACGTTCTTTTATGAACCTCATGGATATCTACTTGCATGCCACCATCCTTCCAACACGTCAGTACTAGTTCACTGGCTTTGGACTGCCCACTACATCCTTGAATATTCACCAAGGAACTAGCTCCGGTGCTGGCTTTGCAATGCTCACAATGCATGCCCATAGTGGGATACCTGGATGACCTTCTGCTGAGGGAACAGTAGGCATAGACTTTATCACTCAATGCCCAATATATTGTTCAGCCTCTACAGACATTTGGTTGGACCCTGAGCCTTCAGAAGTCAGCACAGGAACTGACATTTTGCTAGGTTCTCCCTATAGGTACTGCTTAGTCCAGGATTTTTCTTCTGCAACAAAAGCTCCTCTGACTCTTGCTCCCTTGTTTGGACTGTACAGTCCATTAGTCATCCAACTCTTTTGCATGAGAGTTCTGGGCTTGATGGTAGCTTTCTTCGAGGCAGTCTATATGCCCACTTTCGCTCCATCCATTTCTGCACAACATTCTGGTGGTGTGGGACAAGAAATCAGTCTCTGGATTCACCCATTCACCTGACATATAGGACAAGGTTGTCTCTGCCCTGGTGGATCACGGATCCAGCGTCAGAATTGGGTAAATCCTTTTTTTTTTTCCATCAGTCTGGAAGATTCTCCTGATGGATGGATGCCAGCCTGTCTGGCTGTGGAGGAGTCCTGGACACCCTTTTGGTCCAAGGACTTGGTTGCTGGTGTTAGCTTGTCCTCTGCTTGACATACTGAAGTTACAAGGGATTCGGTTATCTCTTCAGCACTAAACTTCTCAACTTACCCTGATTCAGTTGGGTGATGTTGCATCTGTGACAAAGATCAGCCATCAGAGAGGAACCAGAAGTTTCACATCTCAAAGAAAAGCCAGCCAGATTCTAGTTTAGGTAGAACTTTCCAGCCATCATGCACATTTCAGGTGTACAATATTGGCAAACGGACTTCCTCAGTCAAGGGGTGGACCCAGGAGAATGGTCTCTTCACCCCAGTTTGTTTTTGCAAGATCTGTCACCTGTGGGGAACATGGGACATGGACCTCCTGGCTTCCAGATTCATTAACAAACTGAGCAAGTTTGTCTTCAGGAATAGGGAACCTCTAGCCATAACAGTGGATGCTCTGGTGACCAGTTCAACATTTACATTTCTGAATCTCATTCTTTACTCCACAAGTCGATTTGGAGGGTACTGCGATAATACTCATTGCACTGAACTGGCCCAGGTGGATGTGGTACTCAGTGAACAAAAATGGCAACCACCCCAATTTTACAACTAGATTCTAAAGTATGTTGTACATGAAATGTCTTTGAAATAAGTGAATAAAGCAAAATATACTATGTTTCCCAGAACAGTTACCAACTGGGCAGCAAAAAAAAAAAAAAAAAATTACACTAAGAGTTTGTTTTACAAACAAAGGTTTTAGTTGCCGAACATTTGCAAATATTTGTGGAAGCTGCACTCATCGTGACCCCTTTGTATAGTGCAGTCCTAACCAGTGTATGTGGTATATGGACCTCATCAGACTCCTGGCAAACACTCTGTGGGTTCTTCCAGAGTGCCTCACTCTTTTGCCCCAAGGACCAATTAACCTCCCTGCCTTAACTGGCATGGCTGTTGAAGCTTGGTTTCTAAGGAACAGGGGTGTATCTGATTCAGTTATGTCTACGCTTCTAAACGCACCTCTCACTAAGTCTACCTTCACACTTGGAAAGCGTGCTTCACATGGTGCAAGACCATTCAATTCCATCCCAAGAAATACTCGCTGGAACACATCATGACCTCTTTCCGATCCAGTCTGGATCATCATTTGTCCTTGAGTAATATTAAGGCCATATCTTGGCTCTAGTTATCCTTTTTTTCAAAGACCGCTTGCCACTCATTCCTTGGTGGAAGCCTTTGTACAAGGTGCTACTCACATAATTTCGCTATCATTTATAGAGGGGGCCAACAGCTTTACCACCACCCAAATCAGTTCCATCAGAAAACCCAATGGCTGAAAAAATTTTGACACAGTGTGTTTTAAAATCTCCTTCTACCAGCTGCCATTTATAAATGGCACTGGTGGACAAGTGGTTAGACTATGATTTAAATAATATACAGCATACATACACTATATGGCTAAAACTTGGAATCCTGTCCATCACACCTACTTTATGGCAAAAATTATGTTGACACCCCTCTAAATGTTTATAGGATGACTGTGCCCCTTTTGCACAAAACCAGATGATGAGAAACAAAACATGGTTTGGTGTGAAGGGACTTGATTGGTTTGCACTGTGTCCCGACCTCAACCTCACTGAGAACCATTGGGATGAATCCGAATGCAGATTGTGAGTCAGGTCTTCTCATTCAGTATCCGCATCTGATCTCCTGAATGCTCTTTTGTCTGAATGGGCATAAAGTCCCATAGACATACTCCAAAATCTTGGGAAACCTTCCCAGAAGAGTGGAAGAAAGCTACAAGGGGAGCCAATACCATAATAATTCTTACGGTTTTCAAATGGGATGTCCAATAAATATGTAGAAGTCCTTTTGGACAGGTGTCCACAAGAGTGTGTGTGTGTATGTATGTATGTGTGTATGTGTGTGTGTGTATATATATATGATGAGTGTGTGTGTGTGTGTGTATGTATGTATGTATGTATATATATATATATATATATATATATATATATATATATATATATATATATATTATATTATATTATTTTTTTAGATTTCTGTTCTGTTGGCAAGGCAGTTACACCATTTGTTTTTCCCACAGGGGAATCAATTACCTGCAGTACACCAGAAAGAAGTCCCAGCCCTGTTAATGCACAAAATCATTTAGAGAACGTCGTCGATGTATCACGGCAACATGAAGAGGCAAATGGCAGTATTACCCGGGATCCTAAAGACAAAGATGACCAGGGGTCTATAAATGAAGATTACGGTGTCTTGAAGGATTGTAGACCGAAAACAGATGACCAGCCAAACAGTTTAAAGCAGGACGTTGGCCATATCTATAAAGATTCTAGACAGGAAGTTAGCAACCCCCCAAACGAAGACAAACAGGAAGTTGACCAAATACAAAAAGACTGTAGACAAGAAATTGACCTAATCCGAAAAATTTGTAGGCAAGAAGTTGAGACGATCTTAAAGGATTGTAAGCGGGAAATCGAACGCATCCAAAAGGACAGCAGACAAGACATGAACTTAATCCCTAGAGATTGTAAACAGGAAGCTGGCCACCTGTTAAAGGATGACAGGGAGGACGTTGAGTGCATTATTAAAGACTGTAAACAGGAAGTTGTTAGCACCGCCAAGGATTGCAGACAGGAGAATGAACATTCCTCAGGGGTTTATAAATTGGAAGCGGACACCATCCTAAAGGACTGTAAACGGGAAGTTGAGCAGATTCCAAAGGACTGTAGACGGGAAGTTAACTCCACGCCAAAGGCCAACAAACGGGAAGCTGAGCGTAACTTGAAGGACTGCAGATGGAACGCTGGCCACGTCCGGAAAGACTGGGAGCAGGAAGATGATGACGTCCAGCAGTGTTATGAGGTAGAATCATCCAAGAGATAGATTATTGTAAGGATTGCATTTCCATATGTTTTATTGTTTCGGCTTTTTTTTCCCCATATAGGAAGAGCAACTGAAAGAAGTGAAAATTGAGA